CTATTAAGAGCCAGTTTTGGCAGCAACTAGGACCCATGACTGTCAAATTTCAAACTCATTTTATCAATTTTTATAAACATGTATGCCTGCAACAATATTAATACTACTACTACTACTAATACTGGAAAACGCACTTTAGAATGTGAAATATTATTATTCTGTAATGTTATTACACTGTATCATATCTAGAATGTGAAGCATAGGAGAATGCTTTTAGATGAGCAAAGTCTATGCACTACAAAACTGTAAATTCCAAGCCTCTAACCTTTTGTGCTTCTCTAAAATTAATCACAATGATTTTGAAAGAGTAAGAAAAAAATAGTAAGCCCATATGGGGAGGGGGAAGGTGCAAACAACAGAAAAAAAGGCTTAATCTAAGTAAGGCCAGCTACATGGATCAAACAACACCAACTGTACATAAATACACAAATGCTAAATATTCCATTGTGACATTTAATTGCATGACTACACTCAAAATCTCAAGAATTTAAACTAGAAGTAGACAGAGTAAATCAATGTCTGTCACCACCAACTGTTTGATAAAGAAAACCTCCCACTTATTGATAGCAAGTTAGAAAGAACTAAACCCATGCACTAAGTTCTAAAATGATTAATTTATTTAGTCTAGTTGGATACTGTTAAGTGTTAAGTATAATTCAACACCATAATTCTCTTTACTAAAGCAGTGGAGGCATGACATGGATCAAGCAGAGCTGACCCAACAAATCTGGACTTATTTTGAAAAAGCCCTGACTTATATTTTACGCTCAGGAGTTAAGATAAGGCATTGCTTTAGCACCTAAACTAGTTCTATGTAGGCTTGTGCTTTCCACTGAAAACATTGATTTTCCAAATTCCAACTAAGACACTGCCCCATCCCACCTCCTGCCAAGCATCTCAACCCTAATTCAGAAAGTGTTGCAAAAAATATGGTCCATCTTAGCTTAGGTTAGAACAGTTGCTTTGGTTGGATCTCAAATATGCATAGTACTTAAAGCAATAAAAATCTCTTCTTGGGTAAAATACAAGGAGAAAATGCCATTAGAAAGTAAATAGCAATGGTAGAAAATAAATTATTCTAGAGTTGCAAAAGGAACCAAACAGAATGAAGCAGAGAGAAAATAATTCCATGCATACAATCAACTCAACCCCTTTGAAACAGAACAATTGGAAGCTTTCCAAAAGAGCCATGAGCCTTGACCACAATCCCATACAGGTTAGATACATGGAACAAAACTCTATCGCTGAGAAAACCACACAGCTGAAAGCACTGATAAAATCCTTGCCTCGAGCTCCAATTATAAACCCCTAACACTCTATTTAAGAATCCCAACAAGTTTTCACAGTTTATTTAAATCAAGAAAGATCTCAATATATATACATAGCACTATACCAATAACAACTCTCAATATGAATTTTATAGAAACCGAACCAAACATTGAACCGATTGAGGCACCCATTCACAGTTCAATGGTCGAATGTGGTTGAAGCGTTGTCATACCAATTATTAATAAATTAATGCATTTTGAATAATATATTCTTAAAAAAAATCATCCATAATCATAAAATTGATTATTAAATTCAATCAAAAGTAAGATATGATCAAAACAAAAAACAAAAAGAACATCCACCAATACTACATTTATTTTGTAATTTATAATTTTAGAACATCCCTTATTAGGCTATTTTAAGTAATGAATAGGCTTAGGCCTTTACATTTTGGAAAGGTAAATAGCTATATCACTTCCATTCTTAACAAGTGAGCAAATGATTATATCACAAATCTAGCTCTCTAGAACTTATAAATTTGTGCCATATAATTTAAATAACCAATAGTGACTAGCCCGTTACACCCAGTTGGAGATCACATGCTACACTATTCATCCAGAACCTATTATTTTCTTATTTATTTTCTGATAGGCACTCAAGTGGGATTGTGATAGAGCTGCTGAGTTGCTACAGCCTGTAGGAGCCAATTAAGGAGAAAATGATAGATGGGGCTAAAACAAAAAACCACTAGGTGAAAAGATTACACCATAGGTCCTAGCCGAAAGGGAAACAAAGTGACATAGAAGTGGGGATTAGGTGCAGCTAAGGGTAGGGGCAATGATTTGGTAACTTTTCAGGTTTTAAATTCTCCCATTCAGCTGAGAGAGGGGAGTTCAATCTTTTGGTGAGTGAAGTTTGGGAGAGTACTGGCCCTCGAAAGTCAAGTGTGTTGGGCGGAGGAAGATCATCTTTCTCCACCATTTTCTCTTTTTAGTGTGTTAGTAAGTAGCTTATGATCTAGGTTGTTGTTCTGTAGTGTGTATTTTGTACCAATCCTTATACCCAGTAACTATATTCAGTTTGGTGTATGGGTGTATAAGGGGATGGGGTTAGCTTGAATCGTTATTTCCCTTGTAATCCAACTTTAATACCCAGCAATAGTATTTTCAGTCCCGTTTGAAGTGTATTTTCTGGTTTTTGTCTGTTTTAAGTTTATCAGAATAGAGAGTTCTATTAGATTGCGAATCTTGGCTCCTCATTAATCTTAATCAATTCCCCCCAGGGAGTAGTTGTGCCAATGAATACACTTTACGGTAGTTCAATTAATGACATTATTGACTTCTTTACCAGTTAAAACCTTCCATTGGTCAAATATTTTGTTTGGCTTTCATTCTCCTTGACATCCACTGCTTTTATCAAGTTTCTGGAATTTATTTATTATTTTATTGCCTGTAATCTTGGAATAACAAACTGATTATCGTGGCCTTTTTTTATTCTCCTTCATGTTCATCATTATTCATCACTTGAATGGCAATAATAATCTCTCGCTGACCTCAAATGCCATGACATTCATACAACTAATACAAGAATGATACAAATGATTATCTCACTGGGGAAACTACCCTTCCCAATGTTAAGTCTTGGTGCATCAAATACTTATATAACCTGATCGGATTCTGATTATATATATAATATCTGATCTGGTGTTTAATGATTTGACATATTATGATTCAGCATTTATTTTCGTTTAATAAATGGCCATGACAAGGGATTGAGCCATCAAACTATGGTGAACCAAACCTCCTATTCTCATTTCTGTTATCAAAGGGATATACACAGTGGCCTAGTGTTTCTTCACCCAGCGTTGCTGACACTAAGTATAAGATGTGGGTGGTGGAATATATATGCTAGCATCATGGTTGATCAGCTTCATGACAAGGGAGATTGGAAAGATATTTGGGACGCAGCAAAGAAGACTTGCTCCTCGATTATTTGTAATTTCTTTCATTCCCCAGCCCACTTCCATTTTCTCCACTAAAAAATACATTAATGTAAAAATTTTAATTAATAATGATGATGATTTGCAATATAATTATTTTTCATAAATAAAAATAAAATAAATAATGAATTGTAACATTATTTTTGAAGTACAAGTTTTCACATTTTCTAAAAAAGAAACAAACAAAAGCATGCATAGTACAAGAACGAAAATGAAGATTCATTTTTTTATCTCCTAAAAAGCGTAATACATACAAGAAATGATGAATTATAACTTTTCCCCTAAAAGAAAAAAAAAAGTAAAACAAAAACAATATCTAAACTATCACAAGGGTAGATTGGTCAACTTATTTTCATCTCCCTTCCCCTCCTCAAAAAAACAAAAAATCATTAGAATCCCTCCCCTCCCCCTCAAGTTATATAAAACAAGGGGTCATTAAAATCTCTCCCCTCTGTTGAACACAACAAACCATTTCATTTCTTTTTGTGGCCATAAATTTCAAGACTTAAAGCCAAAAAACGCAATCGGTATTGCTACAAATTCAATGGGCTTGTGGCTCATTCAAGTAGACAACAAGTTTAGAAAAGTAACTTCATTTATTAGGACCCATCCTAGAGATGCTATCATACATTATAGGTTAGATCATCCAATTTTGAATATATAAGAAAGTTAAATCCAACTTGATTCAATTAAATTTCTCCCCTTTACTATGAAGTGTGCTATTTCTCTAATCAAGTTAAATCTTCTTACCTTGCTCATAATAACTTTTCTTACTAAACTTTCTCTCTCGTTCATGGTAATGTGTAGAGATCTTCAAAATTTAAAAATGTTACTCGATATAAGTGGTTCGCAACATTCATCAATGTTATATTTATAGGTGACTTTATAGAGGAAATTAGGCATTAGAAATTTTTCTAACTAAAGATTAAAGAATTTGATACCAATATACCTGTTGATCTATGATAAATCTCAGGAATAGAAGCAGATAATTCAATGGCATCGTTTCCCAAAAGAAATAAACACCAGATAGTTTGGAGGAAACATAAAGGTTTGGATGTAAACTAACAAAGACTCCTATGGAAACCACTAATAAATTGGGGTTCAAGGAAGAAAGTCCTCTAGCGGATATTGAGAGATATCAATGGCTATTTGAGATTTTCCATCATCCTTCCTACCTAACAAATCCATTATGGTACATATTGGAAGAAGCTTCATTCTAGAGTGTAGATCCTTAAACCTACTCCCTCTCAATTTCAAGTGGCTGATCTAGTGCTGGACATCACAAGCTATGCAAATCCTAAAACCAAGCTTTTCTTATTTATTTTCTTTCCTTAGTTGTGTTGGTCAACTAATTTCTGTTAGGTTTTTATTCTCCCACATTTCCACTTCTTTTATCACGTACTTTAGATTGAAGGTACTTGATTACCTATTGAAATAACAGGATGGTTATTGTAGCCTATTTTTACCATATGTGTAATAATTTCCTACGAAACAATACAATAGAATCAGACTCTTCTGAGAATTCTACACATGATAAATGTAAGATAAGGCAATTGATATCAATGGTACTAGATTCTTTCACAAGTGTAAGAAAATTTGAGAGCATGAATTATAATGCATGCTGACAAATAACCAGAGAAAATGAACATCACATGAAAGCATAGTTTTCACATTGAATCATATATCCTAAAGCATGTCATGAGAAAATATTTAATCCACTATATCACCTTACACGTATAACAACTTCTATGACGTCCTTCTAAAATCCAACTTCATGCCATAACTGCTCAATGACATATGATGCATGAGGATGGCATTTATTAGTTTGATAACCTTCCTTCCTTCTGCAAACATAGTAGCTCTTAATAAAATTACATACCATTATGATTGGGAAATAGTGGCAAATATTTGTAACTCTCGGGCACCTCTGATAGCGCAGCAAAGCTGAGGCAATACTTTGAAACATTGAACACCTTTTCTGGATTTGACTTAAAAGGTGACAAAAAAAAGTATTAGTTGCTGATCAATTTATAAAATAAATAAATAGGCAGATAACTAATTTCTCTGTGGATTTAAGTAGCCGATATGATTAAATAAATTATGAATATTTAGTTGAATATGAACACTTCAATGGTATAAAACTACAATCATCTGTATTTCTAAACAGAACACAGGATAAATTCAATGATTCATTTCACAATCACATGCACGGGATAAATTCAATCAGTCTAAGAGAACTAATCGATGCCAAGATCAAAAGCAAAATATAAGTAGTATATATAAACTACCCCAAAAAATAAATACGTCCAAAACACTAAAAAGGAAAGAAAAGAAAACAAAAAATCAAGTTAGCAAGAAAAACCACAAAGCAAGCATCATTTTCTTGAGCTTTTCAAGTTTTTTTTTTTTATGAAACTAGAAAATTTGCTAGGGTCACCACAATCGGGCCATTCATAAATGATTAGGTTTATGATGGTAACACCCATACTAGTAATTGAACAACCTAAAATGCATAATTGCTTGTATCGTATTGTGCCATTACACCAGCTAGTTTTGCAGAGTTCAAATATTTTTGTCAGGAATCAAATTCAAGCCTTAAGATGTTATGAAACATTAGAATCTAAAGGTTAAAAGAGAAAGTCCAAAGACACATTGAAACATCATTTTACTTGCTTCATGTGGTGAATTTTGATTTCAGCCTAATAAGATTCCAGATAAGATTCCGTTAAAGACTTATTTAAGAAGAAAGTGACAGAGATAAATTAAGTCAAAATTAAGTCTGATTTTATTATTGTTACTATTTGATTTGGGTTTGGAATTATTTAGGATAGATTTCAGGAGATTTTATTAGATTATTTAGATATTTAGACTTTATTTAGATTTTAATCAGTATGTTATTCAGACACAGATTTTAGGATATTTTATTCAGTTTTTATTTAATTATCTTGTTATCTAGATTTGATTTAGTATTTTGGATTGTATTTAGCTTTATAAATATGCCTAATAACCTAAAAGCTAGCATATCATAAATAAAACAGTCTTTTCAACCCTTTGGAGATTCTCCTAGATGTGGCTATTAAGAGAAATATAAAATGAGATTCTTGTTCTATATCATCTTAATGGATTTGTTACTCTTATCTCCTTTTATTTCCTTTTATTACTTTTGAGCACCTATCACAGCCCAACAATAATATTTTGCTTAAAGAAAAGGAGGGTGCTTAATCGTGTTTGAGCGTGTGTAGGACATCATCCCTCTTTTCATTTTATGAATTCTTTCCAGACGCCAATGCTACTTGTGGAGGAATGTAAATTACACACTTGAAATAGATAATTTGTGAGGGGAGGTGACTCTATCATGCATTTTTTAAGACCACAAACACAGGTCCATACCAGCATGTACAAAGAATAAGAGAGAATAAAACAAATTTACTCACAAGATTATTAGCTGTGTACTGACTTGATGATACAGACTACAGCACTGCATGTTTACTCCATTTGAGTAATTATAAAGATTCTGGCAACATTTTCAATGAATAAAAATAAATTGTAAGAGAAAAGAATCACTGCCTAGCTAAATTGATGTTACTTTTTTCTCATTATTTCATCTAAACAATTTAAGTGTTAGGCAATCTGGAAAATAACACCATGCTAGTGTCTTCCCGACAAAGTGTCACAGCAATATCCTTATTATACAATTAAGAATTGAAACGACCAATCACAGAAAACCTACCCGGCACTATATTACATAAAATCTTCAACATCAAGATATACATATAACCTAGGGAAAGCAACACCATTCACAGAGCCATTAACAGCGGCTTGCTCCCTGAGATAAAGTTAGCACTTAAACAACATCAAATTATTGCTCTCCAACCTCAAAGGAAGAGGATCTTTCACCATGTCTCTAATTGAAATGCATAGGCTCTAAAAAAACGTCATCATACACTTCACACCTAAAACATTTCCTAATAGCAAACATTACATGATATTAGGATTAGAGAAGCATAAAGATATCAAATTTTGGCTATGAGCTACATGACTGGCAAAACATAAGAAACAAATATTTATAACAATTCCCTTTTAAAATAATAAAAAAGTAAAGGACAAATAGTTATTAACACAGACTAGCTGCACAAAAGCGCATGTTTCCTTAAAAATATGACTGTCTCAATTGCAAGTGATCTAAAAATATCCATCAGATGGATGCACCAAATCATATTTGACTTGCTATACAAGCTATATTTTCTCATTATTAAGAACGAAGTTTTCCATTGACACATAATGACATGTACCTTTTGACTTTTGAGCTGGGAAGCATAGATTTTTTGACCAACCCTGAGGGAGCATAGATACTAACAAGGACACAAGACACAGACATGACACTAACACAAATACAGTGACATGACAAAAAACTTAAAAGAGTCCATATAATTAGAAGTGTTGCATAGTGTCGTGTCTAATCCAATACAAGCTTCCAACATGTCCCAACTGCCAAACACAGGCATGGCTCTTTCTTTAAAGTGTCTGAACTTATTTTGCCTCAAGTTATTCAGTAACTTCCAACGGCAAAATCTCATTATTAGAAAATTCGAAAGAAGTATTAGAAATGTCCAATCTAACATAGTTAAAAGCTAGCACTCAAATAAAATTGAGCAAAACATCGATCTAAATACAAAGGACGATTCCTGGCCACTGCTTTCAAAGAAATTGCGAGCATCAATACGAAAACTACTCAATATTCAATTCTCTAACTAATTGTCCTCAAATCAATACTCCACTACACAAGCTTTACCAGTGCACCACTGCCAAAAGAAAATTACAGCTGCTTGATCTCGTCGGTGACATCAAGCTGCATCCACTTTTGTAACTAAATATCAAAACTACTAACTCCAATGATTTCCTACTAACATCAACATATATGATTGTCTTAATGCTAGAAAGCACTAATAACAGCGCAAACAAATAACAAATCAACATAAAAAACTATAATCATGCTGCAACATGGAAGAAACGGAAGGTTCCTTCGGGGACGTCCGATAAAATTGGAACGAAGGAAGAAACGGAAGAAAAATTTCTACTAAATCGCGCCTGCGAAAACTACTTTCACTTGAAAATAAAAATATTCTCCTTAAACCACAAAGCCGAGATGCTTTCGTAGAGCAGAAATTGATAAAACAACTCACTTCTCTATTACCATGATTTCTCAATCAATTTCACGCAATCCGCATTTAATGGTAAAAAACAAGGCATACTTTCACCACCATTTAAGTACATAGCAACAGGAAAAGCGACATGAGGTCAACTTGATGAATATCAATAAGCCAGATCGATCGCGATGTTTCTCCGCCTCATTTTTCATTATATGCAGGCGAATCAGTGCACGATAAGCTCAAAATGTAAAGTCGCAGTCGGATAACTACGTAACAGCCGCCGCAAAAGCACGGAAGAGGAACGGAGTACGAAGGGACTCGGGAGAACAGAACGTGGGAGACGAAGAGAATGGGTCATCCTTCGCTGAATGGCCGATTGTAAACAGAAGTAGCTATCGTACTACAAAATGGCCACGCAGTCGGGAGAAGAAAATAACTAAAGCGAAAAAGAGAGGAGTATTATTAGCGTTTTTGCCCAAAATATAACAGCGTTAAAACATGGCAGAATAGGTCCTTCAAATTAAGTCCTAAAATGTCAAATTTCAATAATGTAAAATTTTATCTTTTATTCTATAATTTTATTATAATAAATTTAAAAAAATTAAATTTAAAATATAAATTATAAATTCATCACAACAAAATTATAAAATTAAAAATCAAACTTATAAATTTTTAAAAATTAACATTTTATAACTTAATTTAAATTAATTAATCCTCTTAAAATTTATCAGTCATTCTCCCTTAAAATATTAAATTAAAATAATTAATAATTATCTATGCATAATTGCATTTCCAAGCTCCCTCACTGATAGACTGTTTGAATAACTCTTACAAATACATTTAAATCACATTGAGGATGTCCTTTTTGTCAAATTTAACAAATAATTAAATTCCTTAATGTCATGTTTGGATATATATGAATTTAGATTTAGATTTGAATTTGCATTTGAGCAAAATCCATTATTTGGAAAATTAATTATGTATGGATTTAAATTTGAGATTTGATCTTAATTCAAATCCAAGTTCTACCTCGATCTTTTTGTAATTTAAAATTCTTTTTAAACCTTTATTATTTCAAATCTTAACTCAATCTCTTTTATAATTTGACTCAAATTAATGAAGGCTTGATCAACCCACTAACGATAATTAGACTGGACTGCCAAAGTTAAAGGAAACAAATCACCACCATTCACTGGAACTAGACAGCTGACTTCCAACGAGACCAGATCGATGATACCTACCGAGACCGTAATGCCAACTTGCACTGAGACCAAATCGATGATGACGATGGGGATCGGACGGTCAACTTTCATGGGAACTAGATTGACGATGATGATCAGGACTAGACGGTCGACTTCAATCGAGATCGGATGGCCAACTTCTACAGGGAGCAAATTGATGATGACGATGGCGACCAAACAGTTGATTTACATAAGGACCACATCAATGGCAACCACTAGGGCAAGACAACTAACTTCTATCGGGACCGGACCGATGATGATGATGGAGATCAACCAGCTGACTTCCATCGGGACCAGATAGACGGTGATGACGAGGATCGATCAGCCGACTTTCACCAGAACCGAACAGACGCCAACCACCAGGAAAGACAACAAACTTCCAATGAATTGAATTGATGGCAACCATCGAGACCAAAGAGATGGCAACCACCGAGACTAAACGATCGACTTACCCCGAGACCGAACTAACGATGACCACCAAGACCGAAAGGCCGACTTCCATTAGGATTGAACAGAGGGCGACCACCGGGATCAGACAGCTGACTTCTACAAAGACTGCACTGACAAAGACAAGGAGGACCCAATAACTCACTTCTACTGAGTCCAGTCTTGCTAGAAGTCAGCCATCTGATCCTAGTAGAAGTCGGTCATCCAATCCCAATCATCACCGTCAATCTAATCCCAATGAAAATCGACCATCTGATCTCGGTGGTCGCCATCTATTCAGTCCCGATGGTCACCGTCGCCATCAATCTAGTCCTGATTGTCGCTATCTGTCCTGTCCTTATGGAATTCATCTATTAGGCCCTCATCGTCGTTTGATCTCGGTGGTTGCCATCTATTCGGTCCTAATGGTCACCATCAATCAGGTCTAGGTGGTTGCCGTCTATCCGGTCCCGTTGGAAGTCAGTCGTCCCATCTCGATAGTCGCCATCAGTTCGACCCTAGTGAAAGTCAACTGTCCCATCCCAATGGTCGTCGTCGGTTAGATCCCAGTGGGAGTTGGCCGTCCCATCCTGATGGTCGTCATCAATTCGATCTCGATGAAAGTCAATCATCCCTTCCAGGCAGTCGGCAGTGATCAGTCTTTGTGGAAGTCAATCATCCAATCCTCATCATCGTTATTAGTTCGATCCAATGAAAGTTGGCCATCTCATCCCTATCATCACCGGTTACAATCCCAGTCAACTTTGACTATCCGATTTCAGTGAAAGCTAGCCATTCAAACCATCAATTTTAGCCAATCTTCCAAGTTTCTCTTACATTTAAATATAGAATTTAAAACTTAAAATTTTACTTTAAATTTAAACAAAGAATTTCAATATTATATTTGAAATTTGTTATATCATCTAAACAAAAAATGTAGAATATATGAATTTTAAATGTGAGATTTTAAATTTAAATTTCTAACTTAAATCCACCCATTCAAATGCAATCTAAATATCTGTTTGCTAGATATAAATTTAAAACTAAATACACAATTAATTGACGGACGTTAACGGGAAGGTATCTGGCAGGGGAGTCGTCGGCCGACGTGTTCAGACATAATCATAATTAATTTTTTATAATTCAGAGAAATAACAAAAAGAGACAGCCAAAAAACACAAGAAATAAAAAGAAGCGAAACGAAAACCAAATAAGGCTCTATTCAATGTCAAGTGATACTTCAGTGTAGCTTCAGATCCAGATTTGCAGCTGAGGCAAAGTGATTATCCTAATATTGCAAGTCTGTATTATAAAAAGATTCTTACTAACCAAAATATGTTGAGCTTTTTACTATTTAATGTCTCACATCAAGCACGAAAAAATGTCTAATATTATTTTGAGAAGGAAATTTACACCGTTGGCCAAAAAACGAGATATATAAAATTCCAAGTCACAACATAAGATAAACATATTACATTTTTCCTGATCAAATGAAACTAAATAATTTTTATAGGTGAACATAGAAACTTGACCTTCAATTATTTTTTTTAAGTACACTAAGTAGCCTAACTATAAAGTGGTGTAAAATAAATTTTTTAACTTTTAAAAATGAAGCGTCCAGTTATATCCGTTAATTTTTATTTAACAGATATTAACTTTCCATGTAAGATCCACACAAATTTTTGATTAAAAATGACACATGCCTCATCAGCAAATAAATTTGCAAATCTAGCCATGAACTACTTTTTGAAGAGCACTAGATAACCTTTACTATAAAAAACAAACAATCCAACACTTTCCCACCAATTTTGATGAAACGCCGCTTATTTTTAAACTCATAAAACCTATAATGTGTCAATATTTTCAATCTCCTTTGAGTCTCTTCTTCTTGAGATGAGACTAAGAACAAAAACAAAAAAAAATAGGAGAGATTAGCGCATTAAGTCTTATAATTCTAAAAATAAATAGCGTTTCATTAAAAAAATGGAAAGATGCTAGATCATCCATTTTTATAATAGAAATTACTGAGTGCTCCTTAAAAAGTAATTCATAACTAAATTTACACATTTATTTGCTAATGCGAAAAGCCATGTGTCATTTTCAATTAAAAACTTGTGTGGGCCCCATGTGAAAAGTAAACATCTGTCA